TTTTCTTACTTATAATTTCTCCGGATAGCCGTTACTGAAAAATAATGTTTCCCAAATTTGTCCAATTAAATAAGCGCTCTATACACCAAGGTTTTAACGAGATTAATTTTATATTGCATAGCAAATGAACGCCAATTTTTAAAAATGGGTTTTAAATGCTAGTAATAAAACCACCTCACTGCGTTCAACAAAAACATCCAAAAAAGGCAGACAGTTGCATTTGGAAACTGAATTAATCCACGTTCCTTCAAAAAAAATACGAAACGGTAAGATAGATAGAATATGCTATCTTCCCCCAAGAATATGGAATGTTTTGCTCAACATTTAGTTGAGAATATTAGGATATTGTATAAAAAAGTGGTTTAAATTATTCATCGATTCAAATAATCATTTGAAGATTTTGGAATCGGTCTGTATGGATTTAGAAAACCTTCTCTCTGCCGGCAGAAAGAATTTATAAGGTCTCTGAATCTGTTAGGGATATTTTATTTTTGTCGCTATTTATTTACACGATAACCCTTCCTCGTTACAAGTATATATACTTGTTCGTTATTTTAGTGTGTTTCCCCTTTTTTGCTCTTCAATATGCTATTATTCATTTTTAATCCAACGATTGTCTCCTGATGAGATGAAAGTGGCTCTAGAGACTTTTTAATATTAAAATCAATGGTTTCCTAGTTTTTTAAAACTATGCCTATATATATATATATATATATATATATATATATATATAAACCCCAAAATATACAAAACATACATACAAAATACATGCATATATACACACATACATCCATCCGCATCCAGTCCTTCATATATATACACATTTCCATATACATACGGACATAATATGTGCACATAAACATATTACTTAAAACCTTACATTTCTATACAATTACATACACCCATTTAAACAAATAAACAATGTATCCCGATATGTATCCGTCTAACTATATAAAAAAACGTACATATACACCCATATACAAATATATATTACATACATACTAAAACATTTATACACACATCTACATATACATCCAATATATCCATCCATATATATATATAACATAAATATATATATACACATACATACATACATAAACATACATATACCTATAAAACATATATACACATATACACAAGCTAAGTACACACTTTTTATTATATCTTACTCTGTTGACATTAGTTTTACAATTCTATCCTCTTGGAATTTTATTAAAAAAAATATACATGTATGGGTATTTATATATTTTGCAGATGCATGTATATTTACACAAATATTATCTATCTATCTATCTATATATATATATATATATATATATATATATATATATATATATATATATATATATGCACATTTCATTGAATACGACAGACAGGATATTTAAGTTTTTATACAATTTCTCATGCGGTTTAATACTTTTCTCCTTTTCCGATGATAAGTTATATAAAAACTATCCGAATGTTCTTTTATTCAATCGCTTTACATTCAAAGTCATTTTCAAGGATTAAATAAATTGTTAAATAAAAACAGTTTGGGTATGTATATTTGGCATTTTAATTTTTCAAAACAAAGGATATTGTGTCCATGTTCGAAGTTAATATTATTAAGGTTTTGTTTTTATTAATAAACTTCAATATTTTAAAATAATATTATATTAGTGTTGTCCATATATTACGAATATCTTGACCGTGTTTTGAAAAATGAAAAGATTTCATAAACATACATACAAAAACTATTTCTTATGGAGAGTTAAAATATTTCATCTTGTATAAATTCCGAAAGCGCTCGAATAAAAAAATACATGCTGACAGTTTTTTATATAATTTATCATCTGAAAAGAAAATAAATTATTAGATCGCATAAAAATTGTATAAAAACTAAATAAAAGCACCTTGTCTGTTGTATTCAATGAAATTTTCATGAAAGAAGGATTTTAAATACACAAATATATATATATATATATATATATATATATATATATATATATATATATATATATATATATATATATATATATATATATATTTATGGAAATTCAAAAGGTTATAAATACGAGATCAATATCAAAAAACTGAGCAAATAATAATTACTTGAATCGGCATATTCAAAATAAATTATGTTCTTATTGGGTTTTTAAACCTGGTAAAATACTTGTCCATATATTTCTGTGTGTAAAAGGCCGTCTGGAGAGTTGGGCATCGTATCTTCGATTATAATGAAATAAATATCACGATGGTATTTTAAGTGTTCGTTTTCACAATTTTAATATATATATATATATATATATATATATATATATATATATATATATTATAATTTTTACATACGGACAAAAACAGCTTGCTCACTACAAAGATGTATTCTTGTTTCGATTGCATCTAGTGATGAGAACCAAAAATGTTTAAGATTTTTGGTTCTCTTTTGAATTAATGTTGTGAACGTTAGAATTTATATTATTGTCGTTCTCATTATATATATATATATATATATATATATATATATATATATATATATATATATATATATATATATAGTAGTAATTTTATCTTGAATCCTATTATGAGAAAAGGCATTGTCAACCATTATTATTTTTTATTTTAATTTTCGTTTACTTGAACACGTATATCAAAATATATAATGTTTTATATATATATATATATATATATATATATATATATATATATATATATATATATATCTTATTACTAATATATAGTGGATATACGTGTTTTCGTAGATAAAAATTAAGACAAAAATTCAATCAAAAATTAATAATGGTTGACAATGCCACCTTTCATAATAAAATTCATTATGACATTAGTACGACTGATAATATTAGTCGAAACAAAGCAAATTAAATACAAATAAAAGAAATACTAGCCAAATATTAAGACTTACTGACAATGTTTCATCTGCTAATAAATGTAAAATATTATTAAGAAATGCTAAGCTGGGCCTGTGAAAATCCACAAATCTCAACAGTCCTTACCTTTTCATATATATTTATGTGAGAATAGGTATATGAGATATATATATATATCGAACATAACTTTACAGGCAAACTAAGAAGCAAAATCAATTAGAATCATTAAGTTTCATTAGAAGGAAATAAAGTTTGTTTTTTTTTTGTGATATTTACATATAAGTATCGTTCAGACACTCTAGCGACAAATATTTATGTGGTGTCGGTTGAGTAACGGTTAACGAGTCGGGTCTTATTTACAAAGCGTTATGTTCGTACAGAGAAATGTGCTGACTAATAGTACAATTAATTTTTACAAATCGGCATGTTTGTTGCAAATCTGTTACAAACAAGTGACTTATTATCAACCAATAAATATATTTACTTCCATTCTTCCTTGTTAATAAGGGTCGAACTTTTACTGAAAAATTCTTCACACCAATGAAAAATATTATTTAATTTTTTGTTTTTTGGGTTTTTTTTATTCTTGCTCTTCAAACCTAATTTTTACCGATTTCTATCAAATTAAATCAAATATATTTTCCATGGCCACTTTGCCTTCATTTTCTCTCCGGTTGCAGCCACTTCATTTTGTATTGATGGTAGTGTCACCTCAAAAACCTCAATACGAAACTAAGAGTTCGTTGACAAAAACAAAATCGAAAACTAAATAATATAGGACGAAGAAAAACACGGAAAGCGAAAACAAAAACGACACAAACAAACCGACATTATTGATGTTAACGGAGACACTTAATAAAATTTTATCACTTTTAATGTGATAAACTTTTTTGTTTAGATATTAAGCGGTAGTTTTATTTTTATTTATTTATTTTTTTCCAATAAAGATACTTCAAAATTCATTTTTACTTTTCAAAATTCATTCTTTTCTATCTTCCAATGTATTTGCTGAAAATTCAATTGGACAGCGTTGATCAAAGCCTAAGTTAGGTCAAGTAAGGTAAGGAAAATACATCGCCGTCTTTTTATTTTTATTTATTTTATTTATTTTTTTCTTAAAAATATCGTCGATTTTTTAAAATATTTCTTCGCGTAAATTCTTAGAGATTTTTTTCTTATTTTCTTAATTCGACTAATTTGCATTTCCTTTAGACGTTTTTTTTTTATTTTGATCATCTTTCTTCAAATTCAATGAAGAGAACGTGACTTCTAGACACATAAACGATGGTAACAAATTATTTACGCCCAACACGAAGAAAACAAATCTATCTACATATACAGACAGATGGCTATTTTACACACACACACATACATATATATATATATATATATATATACTAGCAGCATGGCCCGGCGTTGCCCGAGCTTGATTCAAAAATCGTACGACTCAACTCATACAGCAATCGCTATCACTCTTGACTTAAAATATTTTTGCCCTTCCTTGCTTTTAAAAGAGTGCCCTTTGGCGTGCTGATGTTGCTACATGCCTGACTTCTTGCCTATGTCACACTGTGAATTTTTTCGAAGCTCTATACTAAACATTAAATCTGTTACGAAAAAAGAACTAAACAAAATGAACACAAAACGATCAGCTTTAAAAAAGGACTCGTAACTGGAAAAACCGAATGAAAAAAGAATGTTAACGACAAATTATTTTTCACACCTAACCCAGTTCTTCGGAATCAGAATCAACGTCGAGTTTAAGCAAGCGAATGAGCCAATTGAAGTATAGTGCCATGCAGATTTAAATTTTTCCCACTTGTGACGAATGCAGCTATCGATTTTTTTTTTTTTTTTTGCATGCTAGTTAACATTCGTGTCAGTCAGCTGTTGACTCTGACGCTGGCCAATAGAATCATCCGGCCTATTCGTGACAGCCAGCTATAGGTTCTCACTCTGGCCAGTACAAAATGGTCACAAACTACATGAAAACTTAGCCTTCCCGCTAACGTGGAGCATGTGCATGTAAATTTTGGTGCAAATCCATCGAAAATTGTGGCCGTGCATTCGTTACACACACACACACACACACACACACACACACACACACACACACACACACACACACACACACACACCCTGCCTTTGATAGATAGATAGATAGATAGATAGATAGATAGATAGATAGATAGATAGATAGATATACACACACCTATTCATCATATAGCGTATCACTGGGTTATATAAACGCCGAGCGCGTGTAAGTATAATAAAAAGACTTTGAGTATTTTTATCTTATTTGATTTTTTTGCAAAATGTTTTGTCATACGGATTATACGATTTATGTGAATGAAACCACAAACTTTCGCCTCCGTGAACATAAATCAAATGAAAAAATTCATAATGGAAGCCTAGTTTGATTTTGATCACAGAAAATCCATTAAAAAAGACTTAGGAAAAAAAATATATATATAGTACAGGTAATCGATCCGTTGGTATATAATCCAGGTGGATCATAGTAATATTAATTATTAAATCTGATCCACAGAGAGCTGGATGTATTTATTAGAGCATATGTATTTTTTACAGTAAAAAAAAACAAAAATTACCTCAACATGGAATACGCGGCATGGAATCATCAGCCCCTAAATGTCTGTCTCGAAGCAATTTTTTAAATTTATTTTCAATGTCAGTCCTCCTCTGGTAGGCTCCTTGTACATGAGAATGGGTTTGTGTTAGAGACTGGTGGGTGGGGGCGTTAGGTATCATATCCCGGGGGAAGCGATCTGGAGTCATTCTCATTAACAAGGTATCTACCAGAGGAGGACTGACATTAAAAATAAATTTAAAACAATGCTCTGAGACAGACACTTAGGGGCTGATGATAGCCGCGTACAGAACGGATTGAAATAGTCTGTTGAGGTAAGTGTAAGTTTTTTGTTTTTTTGCTGTAATATATATATATATATATATATATATATATATGTTATGGAGTCCTTCCCTTTTTCATATAAGTGGACTCGACCAGAGTGTTACTTGGACTGCTGCCGTTAAATACCCAGAGTCAGTCAGAATATACGGAGAGATAGAGAGATATTGAGAGAGGGAGAGTGAGCAGTGATTGTGATTGAGTTGGAGGTAGAGTAATAGTGTGAGATAACCGCTTGTAGTTACAAGCACGTAGACTCTAAGGAAGTCCTACTTCGAGACTGTAAATATATATATTATTATTACGACTAACCGCGTTCCTGGATTTACTAACAATATACCCATTGTATTGTTGTGCAAATACATTTAATTTCTTATCTTTATTACTTGCGTTTGTCATTCATTGGAATCCACAACAATATATATATATATATATATATATATATATATATATATATATATATATATATATATCAAAATGAGTTTTAAACCTTCATCGTGGCTGCCTTGTCTTTCTAGAACCAAACTCTTGTAGACACGTTGCTACAATAATTATAGATGTAGAAAAAGAGAGAACTTAGTACAAATTCCAGTCTTTAAGCAAATCTATGCCGCTCTGATCTGAGGTTTAAACAATCATATCTTGCAAGTGCCATAGGGCCAAGTAAAAAAAAAAAGAAAATAGCTTCAAATCATTCCACACGAACTTTTATAACCATGCACTAATCCCGCGCTAAACTCTTCTGATCGTCTCACAAAAGTATATCAATCATCGTCAGACATTTTATGAATTTCATACAAAACATGTTAAGTCATCTACTCCTTAAACATATCTAACCTCTTTCTTTCTTCCGATTTGGAAATGGTTACTCCTCGCTTGGGAAAAGGGAATAACATCAATAAAAGCCTAAATTTTTCGTAGTTTCGAAAAAAGATTCTTCTTTTTTGTGTGCCATGTTCCTTCAAGATGTCGACGATAATGGCTCTCCACAATTTCCTGCCCTTTGTATCTCTTAACAAATTTTGTCTTTTTGCTATCTCTCCTAAACTCCCATCTGTCAACCATTTACATAAGCTCATTATGTCGGTTATACGTTGTTTTCCTCTGTCCATCTTGCCTTCGATCTGTCCTGTGAATGTCGAATTTTCCAAGTCCTCTTTCCTCATTATGTAACATAAAAATTTTAACTGTTTCTTTCAGATGTTAAGTAAAAGTGTCCTTTTTGTTTCCATTTTCTCTTACACTTCGTCGTTGCTCACATATTTAGCCCATGGTATTCTCAGCATCCTTCTGTATAACTATATTTTTCTTGCTTCAAGTCTCTTCTCCATCTGTGAGGCGAGTGTCCAGCATTTACTTCAATATAGAACTGATATGTAATATCAGTTTAGTACTCTTTTCTTTGTTTCTTATGCAATTTTCCTGTTTCTTAATACTTTGCTTAGCTTCTGGAAAGAATCTTTTGCTATCCAGTGCACCTTCAGATATAATTGTCTCACCTTTCGTCCTCTGTTAAAACACTTCCCAGATATTCATTTTTTTTTATTCTTGCTAGACCCATAAATGTTAATGGTAATATTTTCTTTCTTCCCTGGTCATCTCGCTGGGATCAAAGTGTAGTATCTATCCTCCTCCTTTCTCATATTAATAATAATATTAGTCGTTTTCTTATAAGGAAACATTCAACATTCATTGACCAGGCAAGACAGTGTTATTTTCGATTGAAATTTATAAAAATTTTCTATTAAAACAAATTTTAGAAAAATAGATTGTCCAGTAATTGTTATGGATCTTTCCAGTATTGATAGAGCTTTCATTCCTAACCTGTTGTTTGAAGTAATATGGAACCTCAACATCTTGTTGATATCATTTCTCTGAGTTACGTGTGCTATCCATTTATATTGGTTTTTACTATTGAAAGCCGTCAAGTGATGTGGTTTCTGTTATTTGGTACAGATCTTTGTTTATGATTCTGTAGCACAAGTGCCACAAGGTTAAAAAAAGGATGGTCCTCGCAGAAACCTACATGCCGTTACATAAAGCTGATACGTTTGCAGATAGAAACGTTATGTTTACCGTTGTGTATTAGCATTCGGTACCTCCACTAATTCGGCATAAATTTTCGATACCTAAGGTTTAAAATGAATTTTTAAAAATGAAAAAGCATTCTTGAAGATTTCATTTTAGCTTTAATTGAAAGCTAAATGATTAAATTTACTATTTCCAGTAAGTAAATATTCTGATGTATATCAAATAGAAATTATATAGATCGGGATCTCAACTTTTTGGCCAATTTAAGAAAATTTTCTTAAAAGCGGCCATTTTCTTAATTTTAAGAAATTTGTAAACAAAACAAAATTATGTGTTTTAAAAATTTTCCAAAAATAAAATATATATTTGTGACACGTTATTTGATTAAGATTAGCAAATTTAAAGTTAAATTAATCTGATCTAAAATATACATTACTTACAGCATAAAAAGTAATATACAAGCGTTTCTCAACGATGTTTTTCTTTCATCTTTATTGACGTATCGATAAGTTTCGTGGTGATCACAGCTAGTATGGATGACCAGAATTGACATGAATTTACGAAATCTAAGTGAACGCATTTTTTTTCATTTTTAAATGACTAGTAATTTTTACAAATGAACATATTAACGAAAAAGTGGAGGTACCTAATTATTATTCAGTTACTGAAGTAGTTTTCCTGGAGTTATTTTAACCTTGCCTTCTAAATAAATAAAAGAGTGTGTTTCGTATCGCATTTTTTGTCATTGTTAATAAGAATTATTATGTTCTTGACAGAATAATTTAAGGAGATCTGAACAAGATTTTATTTTGCCACTGAAAGATGCGTCATTACGAGCATATATCAAACGTGAAATCAGTGTTTTTTGCTCAACATCGGGAGAACATCATTCAAGATGGGGGATGGGCTTGCTTAAAATGTTCCGTTAAAATCAATTGCAGAGAGAGAAACAAAAAAAAGTAGGTTATTCAAAATGGTGAAGAATCCAAATTATACTTCATGTCAAAAATATTGACTCACTTTAAAAACCTTTCAATATTCCAAATCCGATAATTACATTAAATTTAAACATAAACACTGTTTTGAAGTTTGTTGTTGCGTGTCAAAAACAGCCATTTTTTTTTAATTGGAATAAAAATTTATTATTGTTTTCTTTTCCGTATTTGTATTCTAATTATTAGGAGGAGGAGAATCTTATAAATTGTTAGAATTTTTTTCCGACATTCATATTATTTTTATTTTATTTTTTAATTCTTTTCGTTTTGGTAAATCCTACATTTTTTTTTTTTTTTGTTTTGTTTTGTTTTTTTGTTTTTTTTTGTTTTTAAATCTAACCACTCAAAAATACAAAAAAAAAATTATCTTTGATAATTAAATGAAACTTGTAACTGAAGCTTGGAAACTGTTTCACCACATCCCACCACGAAGGTAAGTTTGACACAAGGTCATAACGTGAAGATCTAACATTTGTACATCCGGGTTTTGCTAAAGTTTGTCCAATTCCCCCAGCTCTTCTCTTTTAGGGACGCGCTCAGGCATCAAGAACTGACCTTTCCTTTTAAGTGCAACGACAGATTGGGTGGGGGAATACAGCTTGTGGGGCCGACGCCTAGAAGTGGATTTTGATTAATTTTCGCTTCGGAAACAAAAAGTCGAAACGCTATAAGCATTTACTAAGCTTAGATAACCTTGGAACAAGGTTTCAAATGCGGAGCACCCGGTGAGAATCAAAGTAAGTTGTAATGGTTAACAAGCCGAGTTTGTTTACTATGTGTTTAGTTAACCAGGGTTCCTCATGTGTCGGTGAAAATTTGACCCTCCTTTCAAAATCACTCCAGCAGGAAATAAAGAATATTATTTTTTATGAATTTTCTCTTTCTCTGATGAAACAATTTTGCATTTGCTTTGTGTTATCCGAAACTTCTCCAATATATATATATATATATATATATATATATATATATATTAGTTTTACAATCATTAGGGGTGGGTCCCTCGCACAAAACAAGGACAAAAGTCCTCAAATCCTTCGTTTTTTTTAGTTATTAAGTTTAAAGTTACGGTAGACACTGTTAAATATACGATCCAAGATAGAATCGAAAAATAATTTTACACACTTTGTGCCCGATTCTACTGTAAACTATTCTAATTTAATAACTCAAAAACGAAAGATTTTCGGACATATGTTTTATGGACTTTCGGCCTTGTTTTGGTGTGTGAAACCCGACCCCAAAGTTTTAAAGTATTTTGATACACCATATAT